TTGACTTTCATTGTATTTTTTGTCCATAAAATGGAATTAAATGGGAACTGAAATGAAAATTCTCTCATTATTTACTCACCCTCATGTTATTCCAAAACTGTATGAGTTTCTTTTTTCTGTGGAACACAGAATGTTGGTAACCAAATATTTTTGGGTCCCTTTGACTTCCATGGTTCTTTTTCATCCACACATTGGAAGTCAATGGGACCAGAAACGGTTTGGTTACCAACATTCTTCAAAATATCTTCTTTTGTGTTGCACAGAAGTCATACAGGTTTGGAACAAAGTGAGGGGGAGTAAATGACACAATTTTCATTTTTGGGTGGACTGTCTCTTTAAAGGGTCCATTTTACAATCACAAAATTAATATTTTAATAGTTTTTATAATGGGGTGATGAGGTCCAAAGATTAAAAAATGACCATAAAAGTATTGTGTGGCTATATTCCAAGTGTTCAGAGTCATAGATTTTGATTTTGGGTGAAGAAAAGACCAACATTTAAGTCTTTGTTCTCTGAAAATCTTCCTCAGCAAGAAGGCATTGTAGTGAAGGTGAGGTGCAAACTATTTTATGGTGTTTTTTGGCCATTTATGGAGCCTTTTTGTATTTTTTTTAAACATCAATAATAAAAGAGTAGGCTAAAAGTTCTTTGCAGAACTAGAAAGGTCTACCATGTTTATCCTGAGTAAACAGTGTGTGAGTCTGAGGTATTAAAGCAAGAAAGCACAACGTCTCAGTAGTTTTCTCATTTATTTCAAGCTTTACAAAGGCAGTGAACCGCTGTAGGCTACTATAAAGAGCTTCTGAGGAGCTCGTGTGGGTGGATTACACACAGCTCCCATGTCTCAGGTAAAAATGGCAGTGCAGCTCTCGCGGATTAAAGACTTTGCTCCCTCGAGTGACCCGTGGCCTGGCACGAACTGATTTGCTACCTGAAGACCGGTCACGTATCAGCTTTTGGTTGGGACTCTTGCCTGAGACTTTCTCTGCTCATGAACGCAGCTGATGTTTTTCACAGGGCGAGGAGAACGAAGCTGCGGCAGCTGAAGTCATGGACGGCACGTTGGCCAAAGGCTGCAACCACTCCAGTAACTCCGTAGAGAGTCTGCTCAGCTTGCACAGCGGCCAGAGTTCATCTAGTAAGCTGAACTAAATATCCTCTACAACTAGTAGACCATTTATTATTGGATCACAGGTCTAACCTGCAGTTTAAAATGTAAAACAGAGCTACCACAAGAGTGAAAATGTACTGCTTACTCAACTGACATTTTGGTGGACGGCACGTTGGCCAAAGGCTGCAACCACTCCAGTAACTCCGTAGAGAGTCTGTTCAGCTTGCACAGCGGCCAGAGTTCATCTAGTAAGCTGAACTAAATATCCTCTACAACTAGTAGACCATTTATTATTGGATCACAGGTCTAACCTGCAGTTTAAAATGTAAAACAGAGCTACCACAAGAGTGAAAATGTACTGCTTACTCAACTGACATTTTGGCGTAGATGTGCTTTTGACATTTCAGCCATGTGTTTTGTGTTTCACTGGTTGCATTTCCTGATGTTTTAGGTGGTGTGACCAGCGGCTCTGAGGGTTGTAGTAATAGGGACAGCCTGCGTTTAGAAGAAGAAGTGCCCTATACGGGCCAGTTCTGCGGGAGAGCCAAGGTCCACACCGACTTCGTTCCCAGCCCGTATGACACAGAGTCTCTCAAACTCAAGGTAAAAACCAACCTGAGATGTTTTTGATGTGTAAAGAGATGGTTTTCTGAGCTATTAACATGCATTCTTTTTCGTTTGTAAGGTGGGAGATATGATTGATATCATCAGCAAACCTGCAATGGGAATCTGGACTGGGATGTTGAATGGTAAAGTGGGAAACTTTAAGTTCATCTACGTCAACATTCTGGTGGAGGAAAGCGTGCCGGAACCGAGGATTCGCTCTCACCGGAGGAGCAGAAGACCTCGACCCAAAACTCTTCAGGAACTTCTGGAAAGACTCAATCTGGAGGTGCTTCAAATGTCCCGTTAAATACCATAGCTGATGATCAAGCTCGTTATACCCACAGATTCACATTCAAAATCTCAAAAACAGGATGTCAGGTATTATCTGATTTAGTTGGCGCTACTTTAACAGACAAAATTGTTTCTGCAGGAGCACATTTCATCTCTGCTGTTGAACGGGTATCAGACGGTGGAAGATCTACGGGATTTGAAGGAGCAGCACCTTGTGGAGCTCAATGTGACTGACCCTGAACACCGACACCGGCTGCTATTGGCGGCAGAAAACTTGCAGGACTCCGAATGTAAGTGGTTGAACATCAGAAGGCATCAAAATATATATAAAAAAAATAGGCCGGAAATGGCACATAGATGATGCTGTCTTTGTTTCCAAGACTGTTTTTTGCATTTTATATTTAATATCAAAGGTCTCACAGTTTAAAGCGCTGATGTACAGTGTTTTAGAAGATAAAAAACAAACCTCATCAAAGCCACACTCGTGAAACGACAGGTTGAAAACACTACTTTTCACACATTTTCCCTCAGATACAAATCTAGTTCCTTTCCACTCAAGTCTCGGCTATAGTGATTATAGTGACATGAAAACAAAACAAACATGAGATAAAATACATTTAAATGTATTTATTACATTTTTTTTTTCAAATAAAATTAAAAATACATAACCAATATATTTTATACATTTAAAATAATGTAACATTTACAAAATGTAATAAAATAAAAATATTAAATATTTGAATAAAGTGGGTCTGTACAAAGTCAGCATGACATAAATTGATCACAAAACAAGGGTTGAAATTTTTTTTGTAAAAAGACTCATTTCTGTGTATGAATAAAAATGGTTTGTGCAGTTTTACAATTGTCATAATGATAAATTGAATAAAACAAAGATGAGATAAAATGCATCAAAAACTAAATTAAATATTTTTTAAATTAGATGTTTATACACACACACTTAAATAAAATTCAACATGGTAGTGATGATGGTGCTGGTAATAAGACTGGACTCAAATGACTGTTGGCCACTGATTGTGTAAGTTTACAGATTTCGAGACAGAGATAGTGATAGTTTTTCACAACTGGGATCACTTTTTTTCTAAATCACTGCTGAGATGTCATCCGTCTTAACATTATTTTTGAATAGTTTGGTTGGTTTCAATCATATAATGTTTCAATGAAGTTGTAATAATAACTCCAGTAAACTCTAATAAAATATTTTATATATAATATAACACAAGCATATATTTAATTTCTTATTTTATTACACGCATGCATTTAAATAAAATATTTAAGCCATGTACAGTATATACAATCATAACAATGTATTTAGTTTTTTTATATTTCTGCACATGACAAACCTTATCATTTAAGTAATATTTATATATAGATTTATTATAGTTATACATTTATATATCATTTTAGAAATATATATATATATATATAAGTGCTGTCAAACAATTAATTGCGATTAATCAAAAAATATATATGTGTGTACTGTGTATATTTATGATGTATATATAAATAGACAAACAGATACTTTCAAAATATTTACATGTATATATTTATATTAATATATAATTTATATCATATATTAATATTTTATATACACAATAAATATATAGAGTACACACAAATATATTATGTAAACAAAAACTTTTATTTTGGACGCGATTAATC